ATTGTATTTAAAAAAAGGGATCTAACAAGAGAATAATTTAAGTTTTGTCAAATATGCACGGATATCCCTCAACTCGAACAAGATTGTTTATATGTAATTACCATAAAATATAAATGCAAGCATATCAGAATCTGCAAGTTTACTAGATGAGAAAAAGATGTTACAGTCTCGTCCAATTGAAACATTGCTACAAAATCAGATAAATGTTACAACAAGGGATTTTCATCAAGTTTGTTGCTTTTAATTGACTTAATTTCAAGCAAAATATTACCTACAACCCAAGGAAAGCCCAAGCAATTTGCACTGCCATGAGAATAAGTTGGATGATAGGTCACAAAATACCATGCTGATGCCAATTTCTGTTGATCATTCTCATTGCAGCTGCTCTCAAACCACCCCTTGGCCTCTTTTTGTAGACTCTTGGCCGACCCCAAAATACGATCTTTAACCTCCCCGAATCTCCTATTATCATGCTTCAAGTACATCGACTTGTTACGCAAATTGCCTGTCAATATCTCGACTTCGTTCTTCGCTTCGTAAAAGTTCAGCAGTGTGGTCATTTTGTCCAAGTACTGCTCTTTGTGGCTTTCAGCAGTTTCCAGGAAGGCTTCATAGCCATCTACGATGAGATCCTGATCGAACATGTCCATCGAGATTACACTCGAGCAGTCGGAGTTTGTGTTGATGTGATGGTGGGACTCGATGGTGGCACGGTAAAGCTTGCCGAGTGCACCTTGAGAGATGTACATGGGCTTTTCCCACCTTTCCATGAAATCCGGGAATTCTCTCGGCTTCAAAGACCTTGGCATCTCGGCTGGAGCTCCGGATTTGGCAAAGTCGACCGCCATAGACTGAAGGGCTGCTAACTCTAGACATTTTGAACTCAGAGCTTTCTCTGGTTCACGGTCTGCATGGACCAGATGCGCTGTAGAGATGGCCCCCAGCGTATCGCCAACCATGTAATCAACAAAGAACTTATGAATTTCCTGTATACCAATTAAAAGAATAAGAAAAAGTTCATTACAGACAAATATTCATATCGATACCGGCCGAAGAAGCAGTTTTTAGTTACCTCTAATGTCACATCATGATCCATTATTCGTGGCCGTCGACCAGTGTAGTCCATGGGTTCCACAGTTCGAGCCGGGATGAGATTTTCATCCCAACTTATGAAATATTGATCACCATCAAGATCACCACCAGAGCATTCGTTCGGATGAGGCCTGCAATATAACAATTCCGTTTTAAATTGAAACAGTCAAAATAATGATGCGATTGATTTTCAGAAAAAAGAGGGAAAAAAAGCTAAATTAAGTGCAACATGAAGAATGTACCTTTCTCCTTTCTGCGGGAAAACAAGACAATCCACGAGTCCCATCCCATCTAATTTCTCGTCATAGACAGCTTCAAGTACTCTGACATCGCCCGGATGGAGACACGGATTTTTGGTAACCACCACCTTGCCTTTAAGAATGGATGTAGTATCATCAACCTTATGAAAAAATGTCTGTTCACCACACTGTAGCTCTGACTTATTCATGGTTATTCGTACGAAAACCTGGCCGTATTCCAAAATTCCCGTTTCGTCCAAGCATCCTACTAATACCCTACCTTTTGGGACAAAAACACGAGACCTACTTCTTAGATCAGAAAGCTGGTTTTCGTAAAGTGATTGAAGCATGGTCAAGAGATAAGGCTCCTTGTTTGGTTCATAACCTTGACGCAACATCCTTGCTAAAACACCCTTTCCGTCGATTCCACCCATGCTCTCCAAAACCTTCAATGCTGCCTCTCTATTTGTCAGCATTTGGCGCAGAAGTTGAAGCTGTTCTTCAAGCAATGCCAAAAATGCGTCATCCTGTGTCCCCAAGGTTGATAACAGAATAATAATCTCCCTGTTCAAGTAGCACGGCATCGAATCGCTCCATTTAGTGACGTTGAGCATCCAGTTCTTAGATTCAAATTTAAGCATGCTACTGCGTAGTGCTAACTTATCGTATGAACGGCGATCAATGACTATTACCCCTTTATAGCCACCATAACGTATTTGAAATGCTGACGGAATATGACTCAAACCCAACTTCCGTGAAACTTCCCTTGCAAAAGCGAAGGAGATCTTTCCAATCCCATCGGAAAAGCAATATCCCACACCATCCGAAATCACTTCAATGTCAGGAATAACCTTGACATTTTGAGGCTGGACTTTTATAGTTTGCATAGAGGAACTGAACAACTGACCCATTCTTGCTGCACATTTCGATACACTACGAATCTTGCTAAAGCAACCCATCCACTCTCTGATATCTTGTGCTTTCACATGTTCATTTGAAGCAAACATCCAAACCGAATTTGAACGGAGCTGACTAGCAGAAAATGCCAGAAATTCAAACCTTTTCTCTCCGATAACAATCCCATCTCGGAGGACAGATAAAATCCTATCATATACATCCGTTCTATGAGGCCTTGCAAAAATGCCTCGCTTAATGCTTGTAGAAAGAGCACCGACAGAAATCCGACCCCAATCTTCATCAACAAAAGTGACCCTCACAAAGTCTGAGGCATATGAAGCAAAGTTCTTAACAATGTAGTTGGAAGTTTCAAGTTCAGGACCCGAGCAATAGATCTTTGATGGAGTTACAAGGACTCTATGACAACTCATCACATTATGATTTATTAATCTGTTATAAGCTGCTGAAGCAAGATTCTTGCCATCCCTATTGACTACATGCAAATGAGATTTGATAAATGACACCGGTTCAAAACAAGTCGACTCCAACTTGTGCATTTTCTGAAGAACAAGCACTGCAGTGTCAATATCTATTCCACTGAGGAGCTGATACAGATCAGTATCAACTGCAGCAAGGCTCAACTTATGAGTATGTACAAGTGAGTTAAGCTGGAAAAGGACCTCATATCCTAATTTGAAATCCAAGTGATTTGTCACGAGTGGAACCAAATTAGAAGCCGAATGGAACTTTTTGCCTTCTATCAGAGATAGTTCCGTCACATCTTTCTTATAATATGGCAGACTGGTATATATATCTACATTTGATGATCCTTGTTGGATTTTCCAACAAAGCGATGACAAGTATCCAATTGACTTCACACTGGAAAAATCAGTTGTTCGAACCCAAAGAAAGTCAAAGTCTTCCTTGCAGATATGATATCTGTCAGTACGGAATTTTGAAGCAACATCTGGTCCAGAAACCTTTTTGTATACTTTAGGTGCATATTTGAGCTGAATATTAAGTAAAGAGTATTATAAGGAAGCAGGAGTTAAATTCTATGTATTTTTTTCTCAACAACCGAGGACCAATTTACAAACAATAAATATGAAAATAAAGATGACAACATTTCAATCGAAAATAAAAGGGAAGCATTGATCAGTTTAAGCAAAAGAAGCAAAGCACCAATATGAAGAAATCGCACCATGTTAATAACTTTCTACAACTTCTTCCACAAATTCAGTATGAATATAAACAGGGATGAATGCAAAATAAGACAATGGAGAATTGGTCTGCCCAGCTCATAAAAATTCTTTATTACGGCGTGCATTTAGAAAACAGTTGCACATTTTGCCCTCCAAAATCATTCAATGAAAGGGTTCTGCAGAAATAGGACTCAAGCCAATATAATTTTGTCGAAGTTTTTTCTTTCTAATGTTCTACGAAAACTTTTGATGCTATTTCTGCAAGGCTTGGTGAGAACTGATACATTAACAGTGTATGCATAAAAAAAAAAAAAAAAAAAAAAAAAAAT